AGAACCGATATAAAATGATCGTCGACGATATTGTTAATATAATGTAGCGCTCAATATTATTATATATATTGACAAGGATCTTGAGCTCAAATCTGTCATGAAATTTGGACAGTTTGGCCAAATAAAAAATGCGCAATGAAAATTGATTTCACCTGAAAAATATGACGGATAGTCCCAACACCTGAAAGTATAAAGCCAGTAGAGGTATAAATGTGTTCTTGTGCGAAAAAAAGGGTCAAGTCGATAGATATAAAGACGACTTGTATCACAAGAAGATTTGTAAATATCCTAGCGTTGATTATATAGAGACATGTTCTCCTGTAGTGGATGTCTCCATTTCAAGTTTTAATCTGAAAATACAAGAAAAACGTGATATGCGTATAATGGAAATCATTGAAGGATTTAAATTGNTTATTTTATGGCAATGATTGCAGTCCCGATCTTGTTGGTTATGCCGATACTGGGTATTTATCTGACCCACACAAGGCTCAATCTCAAACAGGCTATGTGTTTACATATGGAGGCACTGCCATATCTTGGCGATCGATTAAGCAATCAATCGTGGCTACGTCATCTAATCATGTTGAGATAATTGCTATTCATGAAGCAAATCGAGAATGTGTATGGTTGAGGTCTATAATACACCTTATTCGAGACAAATATAGTTTGAAGTGTGACAAACTACCCACAATTTTGTATGAAGACAATGCAGCATGCATAGCCCAATTGAAGGGAGGATTCATAAAAAGGGATAGGACAAAGCAAATTTTACCGGAGTTATTTTTCACGCATGATCTTCAAAAGAATGGTGATATCAATGTGCAACAGATCCGTTAAAGCGATAATATGGCTGATTTGTTCACCAAATCTCTACCGACATCAACCTTCAAGAAACTAGTGTACAAGATTGGGATGCGAAGGCTCAAGGATGTGAATTGATGCTCTCATCAAGGGGAGTTAATACGTGTTGTACTCTTTTTCTTTTACAAGGTTTTGTCCCACTAGGTTTTTCTTGCAAGGTTTTTAACGAGGCAAACAAAATGCGTATTTCTAAACATGTGTACTCTTTTTCCTTCACTAGAATTCTTTTCCCATAGGGTTTTTTCCTAATAAGGTTTTAACGAGGCACATTATCTATGGACATCCAAGGGGGAGTATTATAAGAAAAATCAAATTATGGTGGCTGTCTACTCTTCCTCCATGATCTTCTCAAATACTTAATGACATATTCAATGACACATTTTTATTCTTAATGACATATTCAATGACATATTTTTCTTCACTTTTCATGCCTATATAAAGGCCTTGTAATAGATAGAAAAATACACACAATTGAAGAAGAAATACTCTTCCTTCTCTCTATCTCTATTTTTTGTTCATGTTTTACTAAATTGCTTTTATATCATAACTTATTCTTGTTCATATTTTACTAAATTGCTTTTATTTCATAAGACACAAACATTTTTCTTCTTTTTTTCATTTCACTCGGACACTACTGCAAAATAAATCATCTCCAACCTCCCATTCTTTACTCCATAGCCAACAAATTATCCCCATTTATACAAACTAACAAAAAAAAAAATGGAGGACAAAAATCCTCCCACAAAACCTAGGGTGGTCTGTTGCATAGGTGATATCCATGGCTACATAACAAAGCTTCAAAATTTATGGTCAAATCTTGAATCTTGCATTGACCCATCTGATTTTTCCACTGCCCTTATAATTTTCTTGGGTGATTACTGTGACAGAGGTCCAGATACTCCTAAAGTTTTAAACTTTTTAATTTCTTTGCCCTTAAAATACCCAAAACAAACCCATGTTTACCTTTGTGGAAATCATGAGTTTGCTTTTGGAGCATTCTTGGGTGTACTACCAAGTCCAAATGATGGATCTGAATTTAAAGAAACATGGAAAGAGTATGAAATGAATGAGGAAAGAGAAGGGTGGTATAAAGGTGAAGGCTTTGAGAATATGCATTTGCAAGGGAGAAGAAGGGCTGGAAATCATACTAAGGGTATTGAGTGTAAAGGTTCTATTTATGATGCCGCTCCTACTTTTGAATCTTATGGTGTTCCTCATGGTTCTGCTGGTATAATTCCTTAATTTCCTCCCCCTTCCTTTTTTTTGTGTGTTTTGGCTTTATTTATTTATTTATTTTATATAATATTGACCTAAGATGAGTTTATATGGAGTAATGTTATCAGTGAGGATTCATATAACCGACTAAAACTTATTTGGGATTAAGGCTTAGTTGGGGCGGTTGTTGTAGTTGTGGCTTTTGTCTGTTGAATCGGTTGCTAGCAGCTATGTTGCGCTTACTCTCCAAAATGTTGCCGCACCTGTGCTGGATCCTCAAAGAAATGCACTACTTTTGGAGGATACTACACGCATCTGGTGATATTTTCCGAGAGTCTAGGCAACATAGGCTAGCAGTGATGGACAAAACATTGAAAATTAGGTATGATTTTTTATTTTTCCTTCCTAGCTGATGATGAATTTTGAACCTCTGTGTTTAGTTCTAAATTGGGTTATCCCTTTTTTTGTGTGTGTGGTCTTGTGTTTAGGAAGTGTTTCACTATCTGAGTTCTCAATTTAAGACATTTCAAAAATCTAAGCTCAATCTTCCGGGAGAATGGCATGATAGATGAAGATATAACACAAATTGAACTAAAGTAGGATAGTGAAATGGAATGGTTTTATGGAAGTGTTATGTGATTGGAAGATAATTAACAAAGTGTCTGTAGAACGCTTGTGAAGATAGTAAAACCCAACATATCTGCAAAATGAAATGTCGCAAAAATGCAAGTATTAAGAAGGATATATTACCATATGAGATTGGGCAAGATCTCCAACAAGGGTGCAAGTAGCACAAGTAGATTTTCAATGGAAAAATATAACCTAAGATTGTTTGACAAAAAAATTTCATATAATTCCATATGCATCAGTTTGTAGGTACGACCTATAAGAGGGAATGAAGTAGACCTAAAATCACATATAGGGAAGTTGTCTCAAAAGACATACTTCGACATTGATATGGATTTAGCTAAGCATATAATACAGTGAAAGAAGATGATCCATATAGGCATTATCAATTAGCCAGATTAAGACTTAGTTGTTATTGCACTTACGTTAGGTTTGATATTTTTGGGGATCCTTCTTATTATAGTTAGGCTTATATTCCCATGTAGAAAGTAATTGTGAGACTTAGAAACCCTCTAAATTTAGAGAAGTGTGTAGTCAAAGGCGAAAAACTTTAAAATGCGCTTAAGGTTTATTGGGGCGTTAAGCGCAAAGCGCAACTAACGTGTGGGCTTTAGTAAAAAAAGGTGCAATGAAGAAAATAATAAAAATACATTTGTAATGCAAGAAAAAAGTAACAAATTCATTCTTAATGTTTTTCTTAACATCGAATCTACCTCTTTGCTGATTATATTTATTGTTTAGTTTAGTACTACTCGATTCAAAGATAGAAAGCATGGACGATAAGGCGTGCACCTTAGTGCCTTTCCTGCTCTAAAGTGCAGCTTAAGCAAAGGCGAAACGCCCTCCCTGAGCTTTATTGAGCTTCAGGGCTTGATTACTGATAGTCCATTCTATTGTTCTATTAGCTGTTACCAAAATAAACTATGACTATTCTTATTTCTGCCTATTGCAATATTACATATTCACATAATAATTCTTGTGTTAACGGTAAGGTTTCACTCTTTACAGATCTTATGAAGGCAGTTCCTGATGAGCACAAGAAGTTTCTTGCCGATTTAGTCTGGATTCACGAAGAGGTAAGTTCTTTTGTCGTCACCATTCTTTCCTTTCCAACTTTTTCTTCCCTTCTATTTTTCCATGACCACCTTAAGCAATTCTTGATTGTCTTATCGAAAAAATATGTGCTTAAATTTTGTTTATGCTTTATAACTAAACTCAAGAGTGCTCATTGATCATGTCATTACTTAGCCAAGTTTCAACAGTATGTTTCGTTCTTTTGCTTTCTAGGACGATGTTTGCATAAAAAATGAAGAAGGAATTAAAAGCTGCAAACTAATTGCTGTTCATGCTGGTCTGGAGAAAAATAAAGTTGTTGAGGAGCAGATTAAAACCCTTAAAGCAAAGGACACAAGGATTTCTAAGGTGGAACCCCTTAGCGGAAGGAAGAACGTATGGGAAATTCCTCAGGTAACCGCTTAAGGGAAACTCGATCATAGCTACATTCAGTTTGTCATTATATCATGTATATGCTTTCAAAGAAGACACAAATCCATTGTTCGTTGTTGCATAATTATTCTTTTTAGGAACTGAGCAAAACTCCAACAATTGTCGTAAGTGGTCACCATGGGAAATTCCATATTGAAGGTTTAAGACTGGTAATAGATGAAGGTGGTGGACTAGAAGATAATCCAGTGGCCGCAGTAGTGCTTCCTTCAATGAAAGTTGTGAGGGATACTGATCGTTTGGTGAAATAGACTATGGTTTGTGTCAAATTTATTGACCCTTTCTGTTTAAAACAGAAATAACCAAACTAAATTGCAAAACCAAAAAAAACTAGACCCCAGTGGTTTTTGGATCAACAAATAACTCGTATTATGTTGAATCATATTATGTTGTAGATGTAGTCAATAGATTTACACAGTAAGCCTGTATTGAACAAACTTCAAGCCTGTCGAGAATCATATTATATTGTAGATTCTCTACTTTTTGATATACTGCTCGTATACGGGAGACTTTCCCTTTAGTAGTGAAATTATTTACCTTTTCCTGGTAAATTTTCTGACTCTTGGCTCGCTGGTACTATCTTTCTGGTTATGTTACTATTTTATTGTCGCATATCATCTTCTTGTGCCGAGAGTCTATCGGAAACAGCCTCTCTACCCCCAGAGTAGGGGTAAAGTCTGCGTACACACTACCCTTCCCAGACCCCACTTGTGAGATTATACTGGGTTGTTGTTGGTATGGCTCTTCTAGCTTGATTGTGTCAAAAAGTTGAGTTAATCCCCATTTACACATGCAATCTTGATTGCCCATTAGCGTCGGGGACAACAAATTGCTTTTAGTTGATTTTTGCAAACTCAATTAAAGAGCGTTATGATAATCTCCCTACCTTCGCAAGATAGGGGTAAGTCAAGCAAGGTAGGGGCAACTTTTGTTGTTGTTCTTGTTGGTTGTAATTAAAGAGCATTACAAATTTTTTTTTAGTAACCATGATGTCCAGAAAAGCTTGTGTGCACCTCGACAAATTCCATGAGATACCGGTTACCTTACCAGTACAACTGTACAAGTATCGAATAACTCTATTCACCAAGACTTTGGACAAATAGAAAAAATCACCTTAAGTAGTTTTTGTCTTCGCTGGGTTTTGAAACCTGATACTTCATATTTCTCAATGACATGAATTTTAAAAAATAAGCGCAATGACAGCAAAAATCAAAACCAGTAATACTGTTTCGACTCAAGCTCTAGCGGGAAGAAATATATGATTTGCATCTTCGACCTTAGTCGNCCCCCCTCATTCAACATATCCTATCCCACCAAAAATACAAAAAGAGTTGAAGTAAAAAACGATTTGCCTGAGATAGTCATATAATAGAAAAAAAAGCGATTGAATTCTCTGTGCTTACCTGCCCCTTCCCCACCCCAGCTCCCCAAAAAATTGGGGCGAAAGGGTGTCTTAACGCAGGTTTCCTCTTCTCTTCTCCCCACAAAATTTGGAACATCATGTGAACCGGGGAAATAGGATAACAAACAACTAGCCCAGAAAGAGCTTAATCGGCCTCTGAACCAGATTCATCAGAGCTTGAACCACTGCCCTTATTGTGGCCCGAGCCATTGCCCACCATTCCTTTACTCTCTATTTCCTTTGTATCTTCTTCATCTTCGCTGTATTCACTTTCATAATCATCATAATCTTCTTCTTCTTCTTCCTCATCCTCCTCAATTCCATCCTCCATGGCAGGAGTCTCATCTGCTGTGAGACCGCCTCTGGTCCCAGCTCTGCTGCGTTTCATTACCTTTAACTTTATATTCGACTTTGCATCACAACCAATCCAAGAGTCACATAAGCAAAAAGAACTCAAGTTGTAGTTTCCCTCAGCTGGAGCTTGGAACTTCCCCATTACCAGCCTCGAACCATTTTTAACTTTCTCAATTGCTTCTTTAACGGCAACATTTATTTCCCTTGCACTTGCACCAGACCCTTCCTTTGACTCCTGAATTGTTTTTGATACAGCAATGATTGCTGTAGATTCATCCATGAAACTAACCTTCTGGGAGAGCCACACATCATTTGAAAAGGAGTCCGCAAGCAGCAACCAGAAATTCTCTTCTTTGTCAGAAGGAAAATAAGGACAATGTGGAAGGGCACGAATCAGGCCGTTACCACGCTTGAGAGTGACCCAAGCATGCATGGTAACGATGTCACCCTCTTGAATTCCCTCCTCACCTTCTGTCTCACATGTGATATCAATTGTCACTGAAGGCATCATTTTAAGAACCATCTCCACATCGTGGGATTCCGAGTTTGAGAACCCAGCAACTTGAGTCAGCAGATCTTCGCGTTCATCTGGTGTCATATCACGGAAGTCTTGAAATGTACGAACTTTCTGTACATAGAGGAAAGGGTTAAGGATATACAAAACAAAAGGCTCACTTGTCAAAGCCCATCCTAATACTTCATTAACTAAACGTGCTACATAAAGCCAAAAAAAAAAGAAGGAAATAGGCTGCAACATCATTACATCACAGGTAGCAAAAGAAGATGCTTCAGTATGAACAGGAAAAACATGGAAAATTAAGACTCCAGGCTTAATTTAGCCTGAAAGTGGCACAATCAATGTACATATTGACTCCTTTGATTAGGACAGTCAACAATATCCTTATGAATACGCGAGAAACACACCATCAAAGGAAAATGGCCCAAGTAATATTCAAGAAGACCTTATAAAATTATGATTTTCATTTTCTCATAAATGTGAATCAAGTTCACACCAATTTTCAGATTTTGCACAAGGAAATAAAAAGAAGAAACTGAATAAAGATGTCACTAGACTTCCCTGTGATAGAATGCGCTGTACAGGTAGCCACTGTCACACACTCAAAGCAAGTGTCAAACATTAACTATTAAAAGGTGTAAATTTGTAACATGTTTAAAATTTAGATGTAAACTCAAAATTAATGAAACACCACTAGATCACAAAAACCAAGCAAAACGTCTTTCTTGACATCGAGTAATTCATGAAAGTAACCACCATATAACTAATTGCATAAATCAAATTAACATTTCAGTCATTGAGGAAGAGTTATTTTTTCTGATAAATATTATTGAGGAGAGTTATATTTATCCCAGATAAAAAAATTGTAAATAAACCAAAGTACTACCTTACCTTTTTTTTTAATCAAGAGTACTACCTTACTAACATTATATTGTATCACTATACATACCAGTAGAGAAGAGTTTAGATAAGCAGTTACCGCGGACAATCCTACATAGTGACAATCAAGTTATAACATCCCTGTACACTCATAGGCTAGCGTTTTTTCTTTTTAATGTTTACAGAACTTGGCTTGTCTCAACTCAACACCTCATTTTGAGCCGGGATTGCAAGGATAGCACGGCCCGCTGATACCAAGACCACAAAATGTGATAAAAAAGCTTTATAGAGACACTTTCTCTTGTCTTTTTTTTTTTTGGTGATCGAGTATAAATTCTAGAGGCAATTTCCTTACTCTAACTATTAAATAAAACTAAGATACAAAACCAGATAAGTAAGGCACAAACTTGCCCTAACTTCACCGAGGAACCAATCAGAGACACAAAAGCACGTTGTGATAACTTATTATAAGCACCAACACAGATAATTAACAACAATCTCCTCCAACATTAGCAAGAAGCAGATGTGTTTAGCAAGTTTGAGAAGAGATGAAAAGCAGTAATTGGAACCTTTCTTGCAATCTTTTTGACAACAGCCTCACTAAAGTATGGCAGCTGCAAAAACGGTGCATACCCTTCACTGGATCCACCTGCTGCTTTCCTTGCGCTGAGAGGTACCGCCTGAATCGTTAACAGCAAAATGCATCAGAAATGAGAGTAGGAAAGAAAACCAATTGTGCCTATGTGGGTAAATGAATTTGAGTAGAATAATGGACCTTCTAGGTCCTAAACCCTTCAAATATGGAAGTAAACGGATACCAACTCCTAAAAAATAACTGCTGAAAGTCCAAATTTATGCATAAAATTCATCAAAACTGAGGGGGGGAAATGAAGGTTGCCAAAACATTCATCTTAATACATGAATCGTAACAATATTTAGCAAACAAGAATAAGTAGTGATGCTCGTATCGATGATGTATCCATGACTATATCTTCAGATAATATGATGCAAAAACTTTAACTTTCAGATATAAATGTAGAACAGACGCAATGATGAAAGTCAAAATGCTAGAAGTTAAGGTACACAAGATGATATTCAATAATTATCACGAGAATAAGTTGCTTTTCTTACGTTGTGCTGGAAGAGGGGAAAACGGAGAAGAAAATGATAAGAGATACGTGATAAAGAGGGATAAGCACGGCTCCAAACAACGGATGTAAAAACTAGTGACGATCTTTCAGAAGAGTACTGGCTTTCTGGAAAACCTAACCTGAACAACACTCTGAGACAGTTCCACCACTCCTATTGCAGGTCTTAGCCATCCATGCCCCACAGGAGGGCGTGGAATAATAGCCATCTGCATGCAACAAGACAAACTCCTTGCGTTACCATAGCAACTCATATTATGTTAGGCAATGAAACAAACATATGGACTTGATAAGGTGAAAAGAACAGAGCACAAGAAGAATTAAAAGCTAAACATTCTTATCCCTTTGTAATATAACAACATTGCCCCTCCTCTCTCCCATGCACAGCTCAAGGACAAACAATCAATTTGGAGGTCTCTGAACACTTCCAACAGCAATCCGCCGGCCAGTGGCTTGGAAGCAAGCTACCCTAATGGCAGCTGTCGCCTACTTCACTGTTTAAATTATTTACGGGACATAACTTGGGTGTTACTTCATTTCAGCTTCATTTCCTAGACACTAATCGTTGCCATATCTTCACAATTTTTGGATGTCCTACTTTTTTGACATACTAGTACATTATTCTCCTTCCCGTCCTCCTTCGTTTTCTATCTCCCATTATGTGTTTTTTATTTTCTATTTAATTATGCGTCAGATATTTGTTGACTTTTTATGGTTACATCACATAGTGACTAGAGTAATTTGATATTTGTTGAAGTCTTTATGTCTATGACTATATATATGTCAGTCTCTTTGCTTACTAGCTACTACAAATAACCCTTTTTTGGGTGGGATCAGTCAGTGGTACCATGAACACTCAGACCAATAGCCATCCTGAAGATAATAACTGAATGGTTAAGACAGCTCATCCTCCTATATATACATCCGAACTTATTAGTTAAAAAAATTCATTTCCTAATGATAGTTACCACCTATACCATGTAAGTTACAATGAAACTCCCTCAGAAATGTTCCAACTTGTGACAAGAACTACAGTAAATTAAAAACAGCACCAGCACTATCATTATCAAAAAGAAAAGCAGCACTAAAGTAGTACTATTAGTAGAAATAGAAAGAATGGAGATACCTTCATCAATTCTTCCAGAAGCCGAGGTGCGAGTTCAAGCACACGTCTGAAATCACGCTGTAAAGTTGGAGACAAAGCTGCCGTCTCACGTGTCAATTGGGTTTGAAGCAACAGTTCAGTCTGCAAGCAGAGGAG